GCCATTATGGCACCAGGACAAGCCTGCAGGCAGATGTCTGGGGGTAAGCATTGGTCCAAGTGTCCAACACAAACCTGTTGCTTTTGGCCCAGTTGATATAAGCCAAGGAGGTCCATTAGGGACTGAATGTTACCCTTGTTTATCATAAAAATAGCCATGATGTCACCTTAACAGGGTAGAGGGAGGAGGCAGTACCCAGGGTGGAGGCTGATGGAAGGTCCAGCCTTGTCTCGCAATGCCATAGCATTGCTTGTAGTACTGTTTGCTGGGAAGGGTGTCACAGTGTTCCACTCATCTTTAAGTAGTAGATATGTCCCAGGCGCAAGATGGTAGAGATAAAGGTGGGATTATAGCCAGAGGACTTCAGAGTCTGGAATAAAAAGTTATGGTTTACCCAATCAAAAGATTTCCTTTGATCCAAGGAGATGAGACATATTTTTAGGGTGAAGAGCTGTGCAGCTTCCATCACGGTATGCCGCAGGAACAGAATCATCACCTGGATGACTTTGCCAGGTAGGTAGTAGCTCTGTTTAATACACGTCTTGTGCCACACCCTCCCCTAGCTCTGAAGAGCTTTTTTTGGAACTTGAGGCTCTCCAATATCCTTATATTGGCATTCCTCAGGGCTGCCTCAAGCTCTATGATGTCTCTCTGAAACTTTTGCACACTGTTGTGTAGAACTTGTGTTACTTGCTTTTTGTGTTGTTGTCAGGAAGCCCTGATGTGTGCCTTCTCCATATCCCACCAGTTTCCAAGAGCGGAAGTTACTCAGAAAGAAGTATTTTTTCCCCACCTCTTGTTCAGTAGACCACCAATATGGAGGGGTGTGTTTTGTTTTTTGCTGACATAGCCTTTTTACAGGTGGGAGTTTGTATCATCACAGTGTTGGCAGAAAGTCTGTTTATCTATTGGCATGGCTAGCATTTAACCATTTTGATTTTTTTAAATGGCAACCTGAACCTATTCACCAGTCCTTTATTAACACGTGTTTTGAGGTACAGGTGTAGCAATGAATCTAAATGGTTAGCAGATGTGGTTGTCTATCTCTGGGCATGTTGGTTTCTATACACCACCTCTTAATCAGCCAGTGCCCTAGCAATGCCAAAGAAAATGAAAGAAAATAAATTCCATTGAAATATTTATGGGGACCACCTAGGTAAAGAAATATGTTGGTCTTTGCCTCTCTTTTGCTCCAGGAGGCTACAAAAAACTGAAGTCCCTCACCAAATAGAGGAGGTCAAATCAAATCTTGCAGAGTTTAAAATCAATGAACTGTACCTAGCTCCTTAGCCCAACAAAAATAATGAAATTTTATGTGTATTCTAAGGAAGGCTGCCTACTTCATTGTACTTGCAACAAATGTCCATTTCTGTTACTTTTCCTCTTACATTGGCCAGCACCTACTATGCTTCATGCTCTAGCATTCTTCAGTCTAGCAGTCCCTGCCTTTATTCATAAGAACATAAAAAGTGCCATATTAGATTAAACTAATGGTTCATCTAGCCAAGTATCCTGTCTCTGACAGTGGCAGGGGTGGATACTTTTGAGGGAATGCGTTAAATAAGATATCTCTAGAGTGATCTATCCTCTATTCAGTACCCTCCTTGATATGCAATGTTTACTGGTTTAAAGATTCCAGAGAAAACGTTTTCACCTATTCTGTTCAATAACCAGTAATAGGTCTAGCATCCATGAAAATGTCTAGTCCCATTTTTAACCTGGCTACATTATCTGCCTCTACTACCTCCTTTGCCAATAAATTCCACAAACTAACTGTGCACCGAATAAAAAAGTACTTTGTCTCCTACTAATTTCAGAGAACGCCCACTAATTCTAGTATTCTGGGACCTGATGAACAACAGTTCTCTGTTCAGTTGGTCCACACCCTTTGTGATTTTATAGACCTCTATCATATCCCCCCAGACTTCTATTTTCAAAACTGAAGAGTCCTAATGTATTTAGTCCCTCCTGATATGGCAGCTGCTCCATGCCCCTGGTCATTTTGGTTGCCCTTCTTTGTACCTTTTCTAATTCTACTACCACCTTTTTGAGATGTGGAGACCAAAACAGTATTCAAGATGTGACTGCACCATAGATTTGTATAATAACATGATGATGTTCTCTGTTTTTGTTTTCCATTCCCTTCCTAGTGTTTCCCAGCATTTTATTAACTTTTTTTGGTCATTACTACACATTAAGCTTATGTTTTTACAAAACTATCTACAGTGGCTCCAAGGTCTCTTTCCTGAGCTGTAACAGCTAGTTCAGAGCCCAGCATTATGTATTTTTCCCCATGTGCATTTGATTAGCAAGTCAAAGCTGAGGGTCTTTATGCTATCAGCTAGGCTCTGTGCCTTTTTTAAATCAGCAAAGGAAAAGACCGGATTCTGTGTACTGGCCATTCCCTTATTCCCTTGTTTCCAATGACTTGCAATCTACTTGCAGGTCTTTCTGGCAGATTCCTAGTTTGAACTGTCTTTTTGTGAGATCTTCTGACTAAATGCATGGGCCAATAGACACGTTCATTTTTGGCCACTCCAGGAAGAGCCCAGCTCTGGTATCATCAGCAACTGGGGTCAAAAGGAGTTTGGCCTGTACTCCTCTAAGAGCTCCACGACAAAAAAACACTTTCCTTCTCCATGTTTTTTAAAAAAAGAAGAGCTAGGTGCCCTACGTGAAGAAAAATCCTCCTCTCTTTCTGTCTCTGGGCTGGGTCGTTCTATCCCCCCATATACTGTCCAGACCCTTTGGCTTAGATTTCCCAACAGAGAACCTGGGGAACCAGTTTGGTGACCCTGGCCAGTCTACCAGGGGTTTGCTGACCACTTTTAAAAGGATTGATCTGCATCATCTGGGTTCAAACAATGCTTGTTTCTGGTTGGAGCCAGGTGATGAAGTCAGAAAAGTTATTTAAAGGTCAGGTCACCTGGTCTAGGAGGCTTCCTCTGGCTGGCGTCTTGGAACAGACTCTGAAACAGGTACCTCAGGCTGCTGCCTGCTTGAATCAGTGAGTATGCCTGAATCATAGTTAGAAAGCTAGATCTAAGTTAATCCAACATATATCAAAAGAGTGACTGAACTCTATATTTGATGAAAGGCTCAACATATTCTATATTGCTCAAGGTGTTTTCTCTGAAACCCCTTTTTTTCCTCTAACCCCATTCCCCCCCCTCTCTCCCTGAACAATAAAAGGCTACCTGTACACAGTGTGCTGGCTGTAAATTCCTGAGGAGAGAGGGGTCAGACAGCCTTTATAGCTCCCTTTGCTCAGCTAGCTAAGTTGGGCATGGCTTTTTACTGTCCTCCAACAGAAGAAGCTACTTTTGAATGCTTCAGGCTAACAGAAGCACCCCAAGATACCATGGTGGGGCTAAGCACCCCTAAGGTCTGCAAAATCTGTGTACCCCAAGCTGCTAACAGAGACCAGAGACCAGGTGGTGGCAGTAATTACCCCAGGCTTGCAGGTGTGCTCCAGGAAGGGAGTCAGCCAGATGTAGAACTCCGGGGAGACACCCAAAGAGGGGTTTTGTTTGGGCATAGTGAGGTGGGCAGCTCAGCATAGTAGCACCCCCTACTGTCCCATCACACCCACTTAGCATAAAAAATGAATGGGAATGGAAGAAAGTTATGAAAGATACCTCCTTGATGCTCTCAAGTCTCATATCCAATTAATTAATAAACACAATGAACAGCACTGGGGCCAGAACAGCCCACCTGTGGATTCCACTTGAAACCTCTTCCCATTCTGATATGGAGTCATTTATCATTACTGTTTGCTTGTGGCTACTAAGCCAGTTTTCTATCTACTTTATAGTAGTTTTCCAGATCTCTGTAATTTATTTATGAAAAGGTCCTGTGGGATTTTGTCAAAATCCTTGCGGAAGTCCAGATACACTATATCAACTGAATTCCCTTCATCCACCCAAGTATCAGAAAATGTGCTATGGCCAGGGACCAGAAAAGAAACCCACTGCAATGAGGCCTGCCACCCTGGCCACACTAGTATGCCAGAACATGGCCACAGTGAGGGAGCCCCTGAAGCCAATGACCTCACCAGCAGGCCCAGACCAAGTGACAAGGGATCTACCAGCAGCAAGGCCTGCCCCACCTGCACCCCAATGCAGGCTTTCTCCTTGCACACCCCAACTGGACCTGACCACCCATAGTAACTCAGACCACAGAGCCTCAGAGACACCTGGCATCACCAGCCCAACTCCCCAGGAGGATTCCAATCAGCTGAGAGTTCCCGGGCTTCCACAGAGGCTGGCTGGTACGCTATCTGGATGGAGGAGGGCTACCAGGCTGCCACCTTCCAGACTTTTGAAGCTTCAGTGAACAAGCTGACTGAGGAGATCTTGGAAGCTGCCTGACCCAAGCAACCCCAAGGGAACAGCAGCCTGGCAGCCAGATCAGCACCGCCTCAGAACCAGCCCAGAAGAAGACTTCAGAGCCAATGGTATGACCCAGCAGCAGCATCCAGGAGATGGGGTGGTTAGACCAATACAAAGTGATGTGAGAAATTCTGGAAGAACCCACAGCATGATACTCCATGAGACACTTTGCCTACTTCAATGGCATTTTCAAGCTCCAGGTGGAAGCTGTCACCCTGTGTCCTGAAACCACGGGACCCCTGACACCCATCAATCCACTGAGGGGCTTGAAGTGAATGTCATACTGAAGGAAGTAGAGGCCCGCCTAAGTAGGACAAGGGACACTGCATCCAGCAAACATGGCGTCAGGTGCAGCCTACTGAAAAAATGAGGTCCAGGCTGTCTCATCCTGATGCTGATCTCCAACTGCTGCAGGGTGTTCCACTGCATGCCCAATTCCTGGAAGAAGGCAGTGATGGTCCTGATCTACTAGAAGGGTGAGATGGACATCCCAAGCATTTGGAAGCCCATTGCCCCATGCTCCATCATGTATAAGCTGTATGCTAGATGCATGGCAGTCCAGATCACTGACTGGGCAGTGAATACGAAGGCCATCAGCCTGAGCCAGAAGGACTTCTTCTCCAGCGAAGCGTGCTACAAGGACAACTTTGCACTCCAGATGGCTCTGGACAATTTTTGGAGGATGAGAAGACAGTGTGCAGTGGCATGGTCAGACATCTAGAATGCTTTCAGCTCCATGCCCCACCAAATCTTCAACACCATCTGAGAACTCAGGATTCCAGACAGGACCATGAACCTTATCCAGGAGCTCTGACAGCTACACCACCACCATCTGGTTTTCAAAGGGTGAGACGCATGACATCCCAATCCATGCTGGAGTCAAGCAGGGCTGCCCACTCAGCCCCAATAACTTTAATGTGGCCATAGAACTGCTCCTCAATGCAATGATGGAAGGCCTGGAGGGCTCAGGCTCTACAGATAGAAACTGAGCATCATGGCCTACACCGACGACATCATCCTCCTTGCCAGTGACCCCCAAGAACCTGCAGAAGATGCTGGACATCAGCTCTGAGGAGGTAGAATGGATGAGACTCTGCTTCAATGCTTCCAATTTCCATTGAAGACTTCCAATTCGATTCAGAGAGGTTAATGGGTCTCCTAATTCAATTCGGATTCAGAGATTTGGCCACCAAATCGGGCTGAATCTCCTCCAAATTTAATCAGCAACCAAAGCTTTGCACAACCCTATTAAAAAGCACAGCTGTGAATCATGGTGTACATGTAAGAAGTCTAGTCAGGTGCCTGAGTCCAAGTTTACAGCACGCTGCTACCGTCTTTCTCACTTGGCTTCCATCCTCTGTATCAAAGCCATTTCATGTTGAGCTGCACGCAGTGCCAGATGTTCCCTCTTGATTGGATGGGATTCTGTGCACTCCTTCCTGCTTTCTACATAGATGTTGAATGACTTAATATAATATAATATTTGCACGTGTTGTGCCTTGATGGTTGTAACTTCTGCCAGAGAACAACAGATAAGTGTTGTTTCTGACTACCTACCCTCAGTAAAGGTCTGTTTCTATTACGGTGATGTCCCTTAGCTTTTTTTCAGCCGAGGAATACCAACAAGATAGTGGGTGGGGTTAGGTTTTTGAGGTGCTCTATGATCACCTTATCCTGGAGTTTGCACATTATGGGGTTTTATAGAAGCCCCATCACATTGCCACTAGGTCCTCTAGTTGGATGTGCAACTTATGGTCATACTCAGGAACAAGTCAACCAATAAATCAATCTCATAGTGTACCTGGAGCATTCAGTTTAATTTATTCACACATACAGGGACCTAGATTAAAATATATATACATGCTTCCCTCACTTTGTGGGTTCTGTATGTGCAAATTTACTCTTATGTGATGACCCTTTTTTATACCAAAAATTCATTATATGCGGGGTAAATTCACTCTTATGTGATTGGTGTGGTGGAAGCCCACAGTCAGCTGTTTTGTGTGGTGCATTGTGGGAGTGATGCACACCAAAATATAGTCTCCTGTGTGGATGTTCCAGTTCTTGAAGTCTCACTCAGCTACACACAGCCCCACCCCACTGTTGCTGAAGGGTGATGAGAGCCCCATGCCTACTGATTCTCCTATGGATGTTACCCTGCCTGTACCTCCTACCAGTGATGTGAAGCCTGACACTGAAGACTCTTCACCACCGTCTCTTCACACCAACTAAACATTCACCACCACCCTGTGCTTGTGTGTACTGCCTGCTCTTGGTGAGTACCAAAATTGTCTTGTAAAAGTGATAGAAATGGGTATGGGGGGTCAGTACAGCTGAGGTCTTGAAATGTATTCCTATTTGTTACATTCTAAAGTGGATTCCCTTTATGTGAATTGGAGTTATGTGCCATTTTCCAGGAATGCATAAAATATAGATTTGTGGGCTATCATAAGATGACTTCACCCAACCTTAGGGGCGGGGGGTTTGTTTTGTGTTAAGAAAATGTCAAATTCCTTCAAATTACCCAGGATTCATTTTCTTTAGGATAATTATTATTAGCTTGGTAATAGTAGTAGTATGGATCAAACCTGAAAACAAAGTAAAGTTGCAGGGGGCAAGGGAACATAAATGCAGGTGTAAGGGAACCAGGGGGTGAGAGGCAGCTAGTTCATTCCAGAATTATCACAAGAGTTTAACTTGAAATAGGTTTAAGATTAAGACTTCAACCTCCCTGAAACCACAATTTGAACCAATTGTAAAGCAACCAACAGATAAAAATCTCTGGCACAGCACTGCTAATAATGTAGCAGACCTTTAGCAAAAGAGGAAGAAGCCCTTTTGACCTCTTTGTGAAATCTTTTCTGTAGCCTCAGGTTCTTTTCTTTAATGAATTTTATTTTTATGGCTGTTGCAAACGCAAGAAGCAGGCACCTGCAAGTAGCCGATTACATAAATTAACAAGGGGAAAAAGCAGATGCAACTAGATTTTTATTTGGCTTTAACAGAACACTGGGGAGAAACAGAAGAGGAATTGATTGACAAGGGCTTCAATAGAAACCTATCAGTTCGTAATCAGTTCGTGAAAGAGTGCTTGTAAATGTACAAAAAGCTTGTGGTCCTTTCTGAAACTTGGATTCTTTGCCCCAAATCTTCCTTTTTTATTGTTTCCTATTCTTCTATGTTGATGTCTAACCATGGAACAAAGCACCACTGACCTGCACTGCTGCTCTGCATGTCCCTCTAGGACATGTTGGCAGATGTTGGCAACCGGTGCCATGCAAAATGCAAAAAAGGTGAAGAGGTAATAAGGATAAATCATTCACACAGATAAAAACTGTTGTGTTCTGTCACAAGCCAATTTTGCATTCTATTCCATGAGGTTTTGGTTCACTGCATAAACAGGAGACTGAGAAGAGACAGCAAGGTACTGCAGAAAGAATGTTGATGACTGAGTAAATTACTTTCTTGCCTTGGAGGTACAGAGGCACTATATTCCTGAAGACATCACCTCCCAGGTGACACACAAAACAAACATTCTGACTAGATCCAGTCAAATAATATTCACAGCTACTTTGTTCAACGATTCTTTTTACATATGGTGGAGTGAAAAAAATTGTGTGTCATTAATTGTTTGGACTGGAACTATTCAAGTAATGGGAACAACTCCAGGCTATTAAAAAAGGCCATAAAATCAGCTGTACAGAGAAAAATGTCATACCCATGACTGACTCAGATTTCTGCTCTGGCTATGTCATTCTGTTGCCCAGCTTTCATTATGTAGATTCAATGTGGGTGGAGAGTCTTAATTTTGTCCTAAGTGTGGGACAGAAAAGTCAGGCTCTGTAACGTAGCTACCAGGGTCTTTCACTGTAGCAATGTACAAATGGGCAAACCTCAGGCTGCCCCAGGGGGGCAGACTTAGGCTGGCAGTGGTTTCCAGGGGGGCAAGTCCAGGCTGGCAGGGGTTTCTGTGGGAGACAGGCTCAACCTGGCTGAGGACGCTGTCCTGGGAGCCTGTGGTGAGTATGCCATGAATGCTCCCCACCCTCCTCTCAGGCAGTGGTGGACAGGTCATTGTGCATGCAAGGCGCTTGTGGACCACTTCCTCCCCTACCCTCACAGTAGGGTGCCTGGGTGGATGCTCATGAATCCCAGGCCCACAGCTCACTCCCAAGACCACACACACTCTGGATAGTTTCCAATCAACAATCTTTATTTCCCTCCATCACTCCCACCCACTTTGTCTCCCTAGCAACAGCGCCCCCTGAACTCCAGTGCCCACCACCAGAAAAACCCACCCTCTTCCCCCTGTAACCATTTACAAGAGTGTGGTTGATGCAGTGTCAGTGGGGAACAGTGGACTGGAAGCACCTATGGCATACAGTCTGGGGAGAGGTGCTCAGCATCCTGGCGTCTTGTGGAACATTGTGGGTACAGACACTGCAATGAGGCCAGTGGCCTGAGGACTTGGCTGGGGTGAGGGCACGTGCTGTCCATCCTTTCCTCCTCCATGGGGCCAGGACCAGTGGGGGCCAGCTCTTACTTAGGGGGTATATGGGGGGGCAGATGAGAGGTGGGTGGCAGCCCAGGCAGGCAGCCTGGCTGCTAGGGGAGCTGGCTCGGGAGCAGAGGCAGGGTGCCCTGGCTGCTTCAGGTACCACTGGACCTTCTCCCAGGACCACCAGAGGGCTTGTCTTGGGGCCACAGTGGCTGCCAGGTGTCAGGCAGGGATGGAGCCAAGGCTGGGGCCAGAGCTGGGGTTGGGGACAGGGCCAATGGCTGGGTGGTGGGTGGCTGCCAGGTGGCAGGTGGGACCACAGCCAGGGGCTGGGCAGTGGGCACCATGAAGGTAACCACCAGGGCTAGGATTGTGTTCAGCATCTGGTGGTCTTTCTTATAGCCTCCTTTGCCTGAGCCACCATGACAGCCTACTTATCCTACACCTCCAGCATCCTCCCAAGAAGAGCAATGTGCCTCTCCTCGAGGGTGAGGAGCGTGTTCTGGAAGGCACAGTCCTTCTAGTCCTTCTCCTGCACAACATCCTGAATGTGCCAGGGCCATGAGACCACCAGCTGCTCCTCTGTCACAGTGATCAGCTGCTCCAGTAGGAGGATGCAGTCTAGAATGAACTGCCAATAGAAGTGTTGCATGTAGAGGGCACCAGCTGATGGTGGCAGTGCCCCTGAGGCACATCCCTGGTGGTGGTGGGTGCCTCTCCTCAGCATGCAGCTGTTGGACCTGCAAAGCAAGGACAAAGAGGCTCTTTGTAAGAGTCTGCAACATTTCAGAGAGAGCGTACACTATAACAAGAGGCTGTGAGCTATCCAGCCTCAGATCAGGGGTCATGCGTGCACAGGTGCCTAGGGACTATGGTAAGTTGGCTGGGTAGGCCCTGCCACAGGCAGCTGCCAACTAAGCCCTCCATCCCTGCACTCTCCATGAGGGCATACAGCCCACTTGGTGCTTGCTACAGGCAACCTGCCTTCCTAATCGTCTACTCAGGCCAGGCCAGGGCTGGCTCCTGGCAGAAGCTGACATGGCTGCCATGGACCAACTCCCCTGCTCCTCCTCCTGCAGGCAAGGCAGTTTGTTCCTGTGGCTCCTGGTGATGCCCCCACCTCCCTCTGGCAGTCCTCTGGAGAGGCGGCCTGGGCCAGGGCCCCTGCTATGTGTGGCTTGCTGAGAGTTCCCCAGGCATGCCATAATGAGCTGTTTGAGCACACCAAATGGTACCTGACACACTATGTCCTGCTGATGATGATTGCCATGATGCCCTGGGCACACCTAAGAACCTTGGCATGAAGATCACTTCAGACTAGACACAAGCAAAAATTTCTTTAAGTCAAGTGCCGAGGGTTTGGAACAGGCCCCAGTGGTGGTACAGTCACCCACCCTGGTGATCTTCAAAAAATGTCTTGAAACCTACCTTGCTGGGGTCATCTGACCCCAGCAGTCTTTCCTGTCCAAGTGCAAGGGGGCTGGACCTGATGATCTGTAAGATCACTTCCAGCAACTATGAAACTATGAAATGTCCAGAACTGAAGGTGGAGGTGACACTGCATTGAATGTGGGGAGCTGTTCCCTCAGGTCTTCAAAAATGCCCCTCTTGGTAATTTGATGCCTCTTGTACATTATGTTATCTAGCAAAGATACATTCTGATCTATTTTGGTTATGGCCCTGCCATGTACCCCCTGCCCTCATTTTGTTTTTCTGGCATGCTGGCACTCTTATCCACCCCATGGGGGACAAGGGGGAATCTTGGCCTTTAACCTTCAGGCTGCTGACATCTGACATTCAAGACAGAACCTCAGAGTACTGGCCATTAGGTGAGCTTTAGACCTGTGTGAATAGGGAACTGTTTGATTCGGATTCAGCTGATTTGGATGCCAGCAAGTCAATTCAGAGATTCAGATCGCTTTTCCAATTCAATTCTGCCAAATTGGCTTTAGAAGATTCGGTGCCAATTCAGAGAGATTCTGAGATTTGGCCATACAGTATAATGGGGAATTAATGAAATATCTATAACAGGGGTAGGCAACACTTTTTGGCCAGTGCCAAAAAACACCACAATGCCTACCTTGC